CGATGACACTATAAAAAAAAAAATATTAGAGTGTTTCCATGTTGGAACCATGGTTATTATCCATCCAATAACATAACTACATAAAATGAGAAAACATTTATACTTCTAATGTTTGTTTATTTAAAGATTGATGACGTTCATATGAAATCTTCCAAAACACACAGACGATAAATGGTCCAAACTATTTTTCCATCTTTAGCTCTGCCAAGGTTATTTTGTGATTGCTGTTTGTGTTTTTGTCAGACTGTTAGGAAGATTACGCAAAAACTAATGAAACTATTTCTAACCATTAGCTTTTAGAGTGGATTAGATGTTACTTTAACATTGAGTGGCATTTTTGTGAATTTTTCAAAAGTAATGTAGAGACCATGTAAAAATAACAAAAATAAGGCACAACAGTCACATGCATAGGGCTGCAACTGCATTTTGGAGAGTATTCAGTTAACGATCTGGATTTTGTAAAAAAAATTTGGGGGGGGGGTGATCTTTATTCTGTTACTTTGCTGTTACAAATATTCCAGAGAATAGATATTTTGACTGTGTCCTATGTAAACAGTTTGCAGAATATTTCGGTGTACATGGTATATGTATCTGATCTCAATGCATGTATATATACAATATGGGGAGAACAGTTACAGTGAGTCTTGGTGGAGGTATGCGCTCTCAAAGGGCCCCTCTAGTTGGTTCTGCATTAACTTAACTTTTTTTTAATTATCTGTCTGTAATACTTTCAAACCTGCTGCATAACTAATCTGCTGTTTTAACGCATTGGATAAATGGAGTGAATGCTTCACACGAGTGGCTAACAAATTAATCTGATGCTCTTTTCTCTAAATTTCTTTAAAAATTTCAGAAACAAGGTCAAATAGTTAAAATGATGTAGTCATATTATTTCACTTTTTTATTTGATTTCAATATGTCTGGTTTGTGTTAAATCAACTCGTGTTCTGCCCAAAAATGAAGCTAATTGTTGCTCTTCTTTTCTTTCCTCCAGCACCTCCAGAGCAACCTGTCAATCTAACGTGCTGGTCCCGCAACGCAAAGGACTTGAGCTGCAGGTGGAGCCCGGGGGGGCAGGGCGAATCCCACATCCGAACCAAATACACCCTCAAGTACAAACTGAGGTGAGCGTCCCCGACCTGTGATCGTCTCGTCCAACAGCACCCAGGTAGACGAGCAGTAAATGTACGTGACACATGGTTGATCATCTTGATCACAAGCTACACTCAGGCTGCAGTGTGTTGTTGTCCTTGTGTATCAAGTGTTAAAAATAGACGCTGCCCTTTCCGAGACTAATGCCAACAATGCCATGACTAAAATAAACTCTGTCCAGGTGGTACAGTGGAGAGAAGGAGTGTGAGAATTACAGCCACGGTAAACAGCGTCACTCCTGCCACATCCCCCGCAACCTGGCCCTCTTCACCCCGTACGAGATCTGGGTGGAGGCGACCAACCAGCTGGGCTCTGCCACCTCTGACATCACCACTCTGGACATCCTGGATGTAGGTGAGTCTGAACACGGCATTTGTGCATCATTATTCTAACTGCTGGAGGAGAATCAACACTATTCTTTTCTTTCCTGTCCTCTCTTCTCATTTCCTCTCCTTACCTTTCTTGTCCTTTCCTCTCTTGTCGTCTCCTCCTTTTTCCTATTCCTAATCCTTTTTGTCCTTTCTCCTCTTCTCCCTTTCCTTTCCTGTCCAATCTTCTCCTTTCCTCTCCTTACCTTTCTTGTCCTTTCCTCTCCTCTCCTCTCCTTCATCCTCTCCTCTCCTTCCCTTTCTTGTCATTTCCTCTCTTTCCCTTCCTTGTCCTCTCCTCTCCTCTCCCCTCCCCTCCCCTCCCCTCCTCACCTTATCTCCTCTCCTCTCCTTCTGCATTTGGCTCACACACTTCTGGAGAGGATTTATTTTTATGGTTCACTCCCTTCGGCCCGATGCTGTAACAACATTATAGGTTCAGGCTTCAGCTCTCTAAGATAAACTGTTTTGTTTTTGAAAAGTTAAAAACACATCGGTTGCCTCCAATGGCTCCAAAGGTTCCTCAATGAAAAATGTAGTTTGTGATGTACGAGTCGTAGAAGCCATTCCTTACTTTTGCTGCGGCTCTAATGCAACAGGCCTCCAGTGAGTGCCACATTCTGAACTCAGTGTTTATTGTCCGTGACGGAGCATCCTCTCCCTGCTATTCATCGTCCCTGCACACAGAGGAACAGATAACTGGGAGACTGAGAGTGGGTTAAAGGAGGGGGAGCGATGCCATGTGCGTGATGCATTGCGCTGCCTCAACAGAAACAATAGGAAGAATATTTGTTCTGGCTCGGTGTCCCCCCTCCACCCTCACCCCAAGATGAATGCAGGAGAACAAATGAAGTGCGTCAGCTGACAAACAGCATCACACACCAGCAGTGAAGGATGTCTGAAGCCAAAGGTTATAACAGAGACCACTTTTACAAGACATTTAATCAGTTCCTTCCTTTGTCTACTTCATTTTATCTTTATACCTACATCACAACTTCAAAGTACTTAATGTTTGTAGTGGGTAAAATGTTTAATGATACCCAGCACAGGAAGGACAGAGTGACCTGAACCAAAGTTCGACAGTCAGACTGCAGGAGAGAAGAGGAGCCACCAAATCTGTCAGGTTACTTTTTAAAATAACGTCATTAGTTTAGTTGAGAGGACCTAAATGCAGGCACCGAAGCTCAGGGTGATGAATCTAATGAGAAAACAGAGCAGGCTTACAGTGTCCGATGGTAGGCAATCAGCACAAAACCATCAGGTCAATTCATAAATAAAAACTGGACCAAAACATGAGGAAAATCCAGACTTCAACAGACAAACTGGTCAAGACAAAGAGAGACACTGAGACTATATACACACAAGGGAGGCAGGGATATCTGAAAACAAGGGAAACACATAAAGACAGGTGCAGACGATCACAAGGGCTGGAAACAGGACAAAGACAGGAAGTACAGAAAGAGAGACGCACGATACACAAGCAACTACATTTATAATTCAAAGAGAAAAATACAAAAGCCCAAACACAAGCCAATACAAAAATTCAGTCATGAGGTCAGAAACAGAGCAGAACGGATTATTCCCCTGCACAATGTTTGAGACAGATCTTAAACAGGGGCACCATGTGTCTTGAGGGATGCACTTACTTGGTTTGAGTAAAACCGACCTAAAATAAGTATTTGGCTGATCTATGATCCTTTTTGTATTTTAAGGGGAAACTGGTCAAAATGGAAGAACCAGTGGCAAAGATATCATGGTCTGGATTACACTGATTATCCTCTCCATGTTTTATTTAAGAAGAATTGTGGGATATGATACGTGTCTACGCCACAACTTTCTCTACATCTGCTGTCATCAAACTTTGTGTCAATTGTCCTTGTCTGTCCAGTGACCACAGACCCTCCATCCAACGTGCAGGTGAGTCGTGTTGGCGAGCTCGAAGATCAGCTGACAGTCCGCTGGTCCAGCCCCCCCGAACTCAGGGACATTCTGTTTCAGGCCAAGTATCAGATCCGCTACAGACTGGAGGACAGCACTGAATGGAAGGTGATTGAAAGTCCTAGACACTGAAACACACACACACAAACACACACACACACACACACACACACACAAACACACACACTGTACTGCTGCTATGACAACTCATACATTCAACTGTGTACATATAAGATGCTCCTGCTGCATCTTCGGCTTCATTATAAAACCAAAGAAAAGATGCAGGAAGTATCTCGCCTGGCGTATTTTGACTCAGTGTAATTTCTCTCTGTCATCCTCTGTCACTTTGCCCTCTCTCAGGTGGTGGATGATGTTGGCAACCAGACATCATGTCGGCTGGCAGGCCTCAAGCCTGGAACTGTCTATTTTGTCCAGGTGAGGTGCAACCCAGTGGGCATCTATGGTTCCAAGAAAGCTGGCATCTGGAGCGACTGGAGTCATCCGACTGCTGCCTCCACTCCCTCTCCCAGTGGTAAGTCCTTTACAGATGTTAAAAAAAATCTAGATTGGATTCAACTTTTCCAATTCAAATCCCACATTCAGGATTTGTAATTGTAATTTAAGACTTTGAACAAAACAGTTTTTTTACCGCGGGGGAGCCCAAACACACTTGACCTAATGTTTAAGTAGAGGCATAGTCTTTCCTTTCTTTGGCTGCCTCACGGCTTAAGTGGTTTTTAAATGTTTCCCAAATGTCTGCGATGCCCACAAATCTTGACCATTCTTTCCATCCTAATAATCAACCTTTCATTGCCAATTTAACTCAGACAAACAATGTTCTTATCCCTGATCCAACATCCTGAACTAGCAGATCTAAACCGCATGTGACCCAAAACAAACCAAACATCAACGGGCTTGGTACCTTGATAGAGATCTCCCAGCAGAGGATGAGAGAGAACTGCAAAGAGCCAGGGGGACATTTGATAGATTTTTGTTGTTGGCTTCAAAGATTGATCAAGTTAAAAAGCTGGTTGTCTGTTTGAGGCACACACAGTGCCTATAAAGCTTGAGTGGAAGCAGGTTTGTGAGCAGGCGGAGCACATAATGAGTTACATAGGTTACGTGGTATTTACTCTCCAGAGGGAGGAAGTTGTTATCCGGCTCTGTTGTTTGCCATAAAGAAGTGATTGTGGCAGAGTTTCAGTAGCCGGCCTCCACAGAAATCCTTGTATGGTATATCGCCTCCTCACTTTAGGATGTTAAAGTGAGAATCATGTCTGTCGAATAAAAAACTGTCGTCCATGGTACACATTGTTCTGGGAAATTAAACAACATGAATCCTCATAAATGTTTTCTGTCCTCTAAAAGCTTTGGTAGTCAGACTGGTTCTTTTGTAGATTATTGATATTATGAGTTATGACATTTCTCATTGTTTTGGACATTTTATAGCCAAGTTATTGGATTAAATAAAATTGGAATGCTGCACTGCGATTGTATTGAAATTATTGTACTGAAATCATCCTTGAGTCCAAGTGAATATTGGTACCAAATTTGAAGGCATTCCCTGAGGCTGATCTTAGGATATCACATTCAAGAAAAATCTAAACATACCTTGTGAGGCCGCCATGACCTTGACCTTTGACCTTTGGAAACCAAAATGTAATCAGTTCATCGCTGAGTCCAATTTTGACCAACTTTAAAGAAATTCCCTCAAGGTGTTCTTTATCTCACAATGGACGAACGGACCACCCAAAAATCGCTCTCCAAACTTCAACCTACTAACATATTGCATATGGTAATGCTAAGATATTGATAACATGATGTTGAGAATCTATGTTTACTTTATCCAATATCCCAAATCCATAATATACTAATTATATGAAGTAAACTTAATTTTGTCAAATTTTCTCTTACAAGCACATGACACACTACATACAAATCTGCTATTGAACCACAACCATCTTAGTGCCGGGTGTCAACATGCTAACATTTGCAAATTAGCACTGAACACAAAGTATAGGTGAGGCTGATAGGAGATAATCTTTAAAGTGTGGAAATCTGTAAATTTGACACTGGAAGAGAAGACAGGAGATTAGAATCTATCTTCTGAGGAACATGAATATGGGAACAATATGTAATGAAGATATGAGGTTTGGGCCAATGTGATTGATAAACTGACAAATGGACCAATATTAACATCCATGTAGCTACACTGTTAGCATAGCTACATAACAATTCAATCATTTAACCAAGCTAATTCACTCAGGACAAGAAGACAAAAACAAAGAACAAAACAAAAAACATGATGTCAAATATAGATAGATTTATTCATAGAAAAATTATATTTACTTAGAATTTAAATTATATTCACTTAGAGTTAAGTAAAAACATTAATCAGTTTTCACTAGATTGTTTTAAATTGAATAGTTATTGAAATAATGCAGAAGAAGATAAAAAATCTCCGTCACATCCATGGTGATGCTTCACACAGGCCGAACATAATCCATACACCACCTTCTGCTCACACTTGTCCTGACTTTAACCTTGACGCTGTTCTCTCTCATCCTCCCACCTCTCCTTCACCTCTTCCCTCACCCTCCTTTGTCTCTCCCCCTCCTCTCCATCCTCCCACCCTCCCTCCTTCCTTACTGCTCCCAGAGCGCCTGCAGAGCGGCTCTTGTGAATCCAAGCCCAGTGAGCAGAACTCCACCCTGCGGAGGGAACTCAAGCAGTTCTTCGGCTGGGTCCGCAAGCACGCATACGGCTGCAGTGGCATGTCAATCAAACTGTATGATCAGTGGAGGGTGTGGCTGCAGAAATCCCACAAAACGCGCAACCAGGTAGGTAAGAAGAATCTGTCTTTTTGTTATTTCAGCTGACACACACACGTGGCTCTCTATAGTTGTGTGGACACTCAATGACATAATGCATTCCCTAGCCCCTTACCCTAACCCTAACCATCATAACTCAAGGCCTAACCCTAACCTCAACCTAATTCTAAGCCTAACCCTAAAACCAAGTCTTAAACCTCAAAAAGCTCATTTAATTTGTGAGGACCAGCCAAAATGTCCTCACAATGATGGTATTGACTATCTGTAGACATGCCCCCCCATACACACACACACACACACACACACACACAAACACTGCTGCCCTGATGTCCTCCACTGAATTTCCGACCCGGCTCTTTGTCATGCCATGTGGTCCACATTGTTAATAAAGCAGAACTGGTTTCTCTGTTATGGGCTCTGTGGAGTTTCAAGTCTGCACTTTATGATCAGGTAAAATGTGCGGTTTTAACTTTACTGGCCCTGAAGTGGGAGCATAAAAGTGGATTTGCTCTCAGTCGTGTTCTCTGATTTTACTATATATTCTAACGACGTAGACTTCTGATCTCCAGCTGATGCCCACAACAAAGACACATAAGCATGCAAACGTAATTAACAGCCCACTGTGATGTGTTCCGTTTGTGTTTTGTTCTCTCTTGGCACGAAGGACCCCCTTTCACAACCGAATGGCACGCAGGGCCGCGGCATCTCCTGTGTGTGCCTCTGAGACTTTGTGGAGAGTTCAGAGCCCTCAGCCACATCCTCTGCTGCTCAGTCCTTGAACTCCCAGAAACCTTCACTCTACCTGACTCAATTAGCTCAGCAGTCTCTATGGGGTTTTTTGTGCCGTCGCCTGAATAATGTCTATGTTCTCAAAGTGTGACAGGTTCCCATTGATTACCTTGAGAGAAAGGTAGCAGGGGACTGGGACTGATGCACAGAGAATAAGAAAAGAGATGATGCAAACAGAGGCGAGGGGGGGAAAAGTGGAAGCCAGACAGAGCAATTATCCTGATCATTATAAATTACACGCTTTTCCCATTGAATCATCTCAACATGAACTTATCTGCTTTTGTCTTTTCAGATTCTACACGATGATAATTCATAGCAGCGCTGCTCAGCACGACCGGTGTTTGATTCAATAACAGCCTGAAGGAACACTGACAGATAACTGGCCTCTGGCGTCCCGGCTGTGGGAGAGGTCCACCGCCCCGGCTCAGGGAGGCTGCAGTGTTTAGTCATCAAGTTTTGAGTTTAAAGGGCCCGGGTGGAAGATAAATGAAGCGAGACAATGCAGCCTTTTTCGACCATTTCCGCCCGACAAATCTGTCTTTGCACATCAAACACCAATATGTAGGCATTCAGTAACTGCACTTTTATTCTATGTATGAAAAAAGAAGTTATGGACTTTTTATTGACTTAATATTAGAAAAGCAAGAGTTAAATGCTCCTTTGAAGTCAAATGGTAACAGAAGCATTACTCCAGCATGTGAAAAATGTATTTCAGTGACAGTAACATGAGAGAATAAATACCACAGATGAGTTTCCAGGTAAAGAAATGTTAAGTATGTTTTATAAAGCAGTGGCTAACAAACACAAACACTTTTCCAAATCAAATCAGACAAATCTGAATTTGCTAAGTTTACATTATGGCATCATATGGCCGTTAAGATGGTGTATCAATATCTCCTCATGTATTAATCGACTGTTAGCAATCAGTTCAATGAGAACTAACAAGATTTGTTAAGTCAAAAAACCACAAATCGAGAAATCAAGACATTTCTTTACAATCAGTGTTATTCTATTTTAAAATGTATAAATGGCTGAATTAATGATCAGATTTTAAAACCCCAGTAAATGACGGCCCTGGTACCTGTAAACTGTACATACTGTATCTGAACAAACATATTGATACTATATAAATTTTATAAATGTATATTTAAACAATGGAATTTTTAAGTTATATACTGAGTATGAAATGTCTTTAAATGAACAGCAGAGAAAATGTCTTGTCAAGTGTTTTTATTTTTAAAAAATAGAATGTATCAAGTAAACAAAGATGGATGAACTTTATTTTAACTATTTACACATTTCATCAATTTCGCTGAAACCTAAGCATTTTTATCTTTTTGCCGAGGCATGCATTAACACACACACACACACACACTGCAAAGCCCTCTAGGTGGAATAAGACTGCAGCAAAGAGCAGGGTGGAGCCAGAGGGGGGTGGGGGTGGTCGATAATTACAGCTGAGGAGAACAAGATGGACGTTGCAGCAGGGCCGAGCTGACCCGCAGCCTCGCTGTGTGGTGAAGTGAGAGGGCGGCTGCAGGTCCCAGGGGGAGTCATCTGTCAATCAGACTCCTCAGAGTCATACTTAAAATCCTGCATGATCTCACTCAGAGCGTCTTTGTTCTTGATGATTCTGGACGAGAGAAGAACACAAAGCGTGGTTTAATTACTTATTTGTGTTCCTCTGTGACAGTGAGCTCAAATGACATGGGTGACACAGGACAGGTTGTTAAATTACAGGCACACAAGAAGCTCATGTGCCGTCGCCAGCAGGTTGTAAGTGAGTGAGTAAACGTTCAGCGGGGAGCCTAACACAGTAAACTGAGGGGCGGCGATAGCTGCTCTTACTCGTGCTTGATCTCCTGAATCTTTTCTTGACAGCCCTCGTCCTCCGGGTGATCCTGGGCCCGCTGCCTGGCCAGCTGCAGCTTGGCCGTCTGTTGAGGAGGCACATCAGAAAAAGATTTATGCAAACCATTCATCAGCGGAGGACGGAGCGGAGACAGAGGATGGACTCTGGGATAATAGAAGCTTTATGACGTTACTTGCAGAAAGGAAGTTGATTTAATACTATAAAGGAGTGTAAAACTTTATACAAAAGTGCTACACATCAACACCAGATGTATGAGACGCTAACTGTTCAAGAATGTGGGGAATCACCAGAGCTGTTAACCTTTTCACACCAGTCACAGTAAAACCGTCTCTGCAGCCATGATGAGCGTCACACACGCAGGTTTCATGTCACCCACTTGAAACTATCTGATTCTAACTAAACAGAAACAGTGTTTACTGTGCAGCCGGCAGAAAAGACTAATGTTTCCAATCACAACAATCATGCACTGTTTTCCTCTGAATACTTCAAACATTTATGACTCAACCATTTGAATGAAATCATTATCAAGGTCTGTAACATGAGAGTGGCAGAAGCTGCTTCAGGACAGAGTTTTTTACCTGTAGATTTAAGTCGAGGATTTAATACAGTAAAACTGCATCTAATATTTAAGAAGCTGAATGATCTTCATGTCCAACCTCTCATTATTAAATGGCACCAAATCAATGGAGAGAACCTGGAACCTTGAGCCTCCCAGGGTTGTGTCACTTCAACTGTCCCTTCTACTTAATATACTAATAAGTGAAGTTATAACAATCACATCCTCACATTCCCAGATGAGACTGCCATCTTGGCTTTATTAACAAAGGACAGTGATCTGTTTTCACACACAAGGTTTGTGACACGGTGAGAGGACAACCACCTCATCTTGACTTGCTAACATATGACACTTGTCACAGATGTTCCCAGGCTCCATGTTATTTTACATGTCTGAGACCAGGGGAGCCCCGGAAGTCTGATTTCATAGTCATTTCAATAATACTGGAACCAGTAACAGAAAGCATGGAAACATCATTTACCTCATTAATAGCCCTTGTAAAATACTTCTATTAGGGACGAACTCCCATCACCTGCTTTGTGGCTACGTGATGCAATGTTTTGAAGTTGGGAATACATTTTCTAAATTCAGGGTTCTGGCAGCCTCTTATCACTAACTTTAAGAATCTGAGCTCCCTCAACCAGAATGACTGTCTGGGTCAGACTGCACAACGCATTTTAATTTTCTTTTTCTTTTTCTTATTGTTATCATAAATGGGAAGCGTAGATGGAGGGTTAGGGGCTAATGGAATAATTCATGTTGATCCATTATTTTGTAATGATTTCTAAAATGCCAATAAAATATGTTTAAAAAAAGACAGAGGAGATGGTGTCTGACCCCTGGGCAGCCAGTCAGTGACCACGGGCCTGCGGTCGTCAATGTCACCATCTCACAGCTCGGCCTCATACAAATAATGTTTTCATCTCCTTAACCTGGAACAGCCCCGTGGACAGTTGTCGCAGAATACAACAATGACTGCACTTCCTACATCGACTATTGTGTAATTCTTGTATCTGGATTTTTTTATAGAGCCTTATCAGATATGACACTGCAGCTTGGCTAAGTATTTTTAAGCCCAAATGAGACAGAGTGATGCAGACAGTGTGGACAATTATGGGGTACAACATTAAACAGCACACATCCCTAAAGTCTGTTTAAACAGGCTGCCCTAAGACAAGCCAACAGGATAATAACTGACCCATCCCACGTTCTACATGCCGAGTAGCAGCTATAACACCCACAGGCAGGAGGTTCAGAGACTCTCATTGCAGATACAGCAGTTGATCCTGAAACTGTTTAATAACAGCAGATGAGGCCAGGATGGGGACTGGATCTTTTCTAAAGGCTTTTTAATGGAATCTGTTTTGTTGTCTAGCTATTGTTTGAATCTTGGTTTGCCATTTACCTTTGTATATTTTCTATATGTGTAATGTTCTTAGATCCCTTTAGAACCTTATTCATTATTTATTAACACATTAGTATATTTTTTGCAGGAAATAGTTAGCAGGGGCCATGAAGCTTGATGAAAAGTTCTGCAGAAGAACTCTGCCCCCTTGTGTATAAACAGAGTAACTCTATCAAACATTAATAAAATTAACTTTTATACTGTTACATGACATTTATTTAAAAAGAAACTTAAAGGAAACATTAGTTATGGTCGGTAAAGAGGATGTTTGAAACACATTTCTATCGCGATTATTACAGATGATTGTAAAAAAAGAAATATTGTTAAAAAGCAATATCATCACTTAATAATACAGTAAAACTACTACTAACTAAATTCAAATTTTTTTTATTAGAAATGCTTCAGTACAGAGTTTCTTATAGGTAATTGTGTTTATATGTTGAATATCACAGTTCTGCTGGGTGTATTACCTCCAGTGTTAAAAAGCAAAGGTGTACCATCAGGTAACATTTTATCAGTCATTTTCTTCGTCTCTGTCTGTTTCTCATCCAAAAATTGACCCAAACAAATAGCATTTCCTACCAGTTCCAGTTTCTGCTTCTCTTTGCTCTGCAGCTTGTCGATGTGCTCAGAGAGGTCGGCCCTGTCAAAGTCATGGTGCAGCCTGCCCTTGATCTGCAGCACTTCCTTGGAGATGCCAAGGAAGGCCTGCGTTATCTCGTGGACCAGCTGCCTGTAGTGGTCAAAGTCGTACTGAGGCCCAGTTCTCAAGTAGGCCTCATGTCCTCTGGCAGGTGGTCAAGCATCAGCCAAAACAACAACAAGAGATGGAACATGTGAGGAACATATATATGAGGCATATAGATTTCTCTGTTAATGTGCAGAGGAAGTGAATCCCATACATCCTTGTATGCAGTAACAACAACTGCCTCATTAGTGGATCTATACTTACTCCTCAAAGAGCCGATATGTCTCCACTCGCTCAGACTGAAGATGATAAAACCTCTGGATTAGGCTTTTAAAGTCTGTAGGGATCTACACAAAGGAAATGCCATTGAAGAACATTAACATTAAACAAGTGGAGAGGGATTGTCTTACAGAGGAATCTCACATCTATTCAGGTAGACAGGTTATGTTACAGCTTAACACAAATACCTCTATTATCATTTTAAATATTTAGATTTGTGTCATTTTCATTAGTGAATCTGATCTAAAAACGACCTTTCCTTTAAACTTAACATAACAGGCTCTGATAAGAGTTCATCAACTGTAAGTAATCTGGAACTTTACTTGTATTTGTCTCTTTTATTTTACAATAACGTTAAAGTTAGAGGGTATAAGTAAAAATGAAACTATTCCTCTTGTAAACAGCAGCCTGGTTAGCATTAGCTTAGCTTCCTGGTTACTTTAGCACATGTGTCAGTTCTCAGCCTCGTTAAGTTTCCTGCTGAATGAAAAGTCAAACTCTTACCATGACGACCTGTGGGACGGAAGGCTGAAGATGTTTCAGAGTCTACAACAGAGACATGATCTGCTTCTTCATCAACTATTCGTTGCTTCCAGTCTGTGAATCAGCAGCATGTGGCCCCGCCTATCCCGGAAATGATGCAAGAGAACCGCGTACAGGAGTGGACTTCAAAATAAAGGTTTGTCATGAACCAACAGTAGAACTAATGCATTATATTTAAAGGATTTGGTGACGGTGCTGCTGAAATGGAATGACACAGTTTTGTCCAATAATAACTGGTAAAAAAAAACAACAACAACAACACATTGAGTCTGGTTCGGCCAGAGGTCTCTTCCAGTTCATCTCCACAGTCGTTAAGGTGCTTGCTCATTGTGGGAACTGTTGGGTTTGTCTATACTGTTGTCTCGTTATGATTTTGCACAATACAAATACAAATTAATTGAATTTGGGGAGAAGGAGATTTACTGATTTCCACCAGGTTGTGAAGCATTGTGATGCTTGTAAAGTTATTTTTATACTAAATCCAGTTTTGCAAGCAATCCAGGATGTGGGTTGCATCTTCATATTAAAATAATTGTAATATATTCACCCAGCTGTCAGGCCTATATTTGTGCCGCATTGTCAGTTAGTAAACGTGTGCTTTAGAAGTGTTGTGACAGTGGACTTTTAAAAAACTAAAAATACATATATTAACGCAGTTTAAAGAGCTTCAAAAACCCTATCCAACTATCTGCGTATCCATCCATCCATTCATCCCCTCTTAACACAAAGGGACTTTTATTTCAAGTGTTTATGTTTAAACACATTCAACATTTGCCTACAATCTATCTATCTATCTATCTATCTAGCCTCCATCCATCCATCCTTCTTAACATGCAGTTGGTGCTGCTTTTATTTTGAAGAGTATCACAATGTCACATGCCCTCCTGTACAACAGAGTGTCCTCATCTCTCATATTTAATTACAGAGTGAATAATCAAACTTTGTAACACAATAACGTGATGTTGTGAGGAGACCATATGGATCATGTGACTTCAGAAATGACCAGAGTGACGTCATAGGCGATCTGTTGAGTCTTAAATATGAATAAATCCTCACACTGTGCATCAGGGGGCTTATCTGCTGCTTGTGTGTGTTTATAAGATTACAAAGCATTATTCCAACATGGAGGACACAGCAGCAGACACTCCTCCGCCTCCAGCGTCCCTCCGCCGCTCATTGGTCGGCTCAGCCTCTTCAGCACCACGCAGTCTGAACAGCGACAGTCCGCCGGGCAGCTCCACCAGAGGAGGCTGCTCTGCTCGGTTGCTATGACGATTCCATCTGACTGTTGTTTTTACCTCTAATGTCATTGTTTCCTCCGCCTGTGTTGGATGTTTACTGACACCTCCTCATCTCTGGGTTGTGATCGTGAAGAGCTGTCTCGTCCAACTCTCCAGGAGGAAGCTGTGTGTGTGTTTTTCCCCCTCCACCATCGCTGATGCTCGGACTCGGAGGTTCGGCTTCTTTCACCTGGTTTCTCTCCCGTCGCGTCGCCAGGCAATGACGGGCTGTGACACCCCGGCTACAGGCAGCAGCAGCAGCGTCCCGTGCACAGAGCCGTGCCCGCCAGCCTCGCTGCCCGACCACCGGGTCCCCCCGCCAGCGCCCCGTCGTCCGCCATCAGCTCCCCGGCGGCTCCTGTGACATGACAGCTCGGGGAAGGAAGAGGAGGGTCAGAGGGAGCGGACGGATCGGATCCCAGAGGAGAGGGCACAGCTCGGAAACAGAGAAGATAAATGATTGTGGATTTTTTTCTGTGACACTGTTCTAATCCCTGCAGGGTGTTTCTCTGGAGAGGGGTCAGATCACGGGGTCAGCGGGGGCCCCCAGGAGCCGCTTCATGTCCCCATACATGCACAGCAGCTGACACGACCTGGATCCCCCTGCCCTCCACTGGAGCTTTATTGTGATTCTGTTGTTTTCTTTTTGAGGGGGGGCTATAGTGTGGTACAGCACCCACCTTTGCCTTACAACAAGTCCCATCTCATGCACAGCCTCATACTGGTCGAGTCCCAGTCAGCCGCGCTCTTCCCCGGGCCCGTCCGGCTCACCTGGCTGCTCCTCACCGTCTCCCTCACCTGCACAGACATGGGCTGCATCCAGAGCATCGCCTGCAACAAGTCGCGCCTCAAGCGGGAGAACATCGTGGTGTACGACCTGTCCGCCACCATCGACCACTGCCCCACTGTCATCGAGGAGAACTCGCCGATCGTGCTCCGCTACAAGACGCCCTACTTCAAGGCGTCAGCGCGGGTCGTCATGCCCCCTATTCCGCGCAACGAGACCTGGGTCGTGGGCTGGATCCAGGCGTGCACCCAGATGGAGTTCTACAACACCTATGGAGACGTCGGCATGTGAGTTTCACACCTCTTGCCACCTGCGTCCTCATCGAACCCCTGTGCTCTCACATATAGATATGCATGCGTGCAGGGCTTAAGATGCTTGTGCACAACAACATATTCGTGCATCACACGCTGAGCAGCACAAGAGGAGCATTTGTGCACGCAGCAGGTTAACTGTGCTCGTCAGCCTCCTTCACTCAAACGCCCACCGACAGATTCTGTTCCTGTGACTTTGGCACCTAAATAGGAAAGCTGCTATTAGAGGAGCTAAACAACAGTTGCTGCTCTCTCACACACTCAAATTTGTTGCCCACAGAGGCATGTCCTCCCCCACACCCCCACATTATCTGGAGGGCACACATGAGGGGGTGTTTAATCCTGCTGGGTTTATAGAGAGTGGGTGTAAGGCTGCGAGGATGGTGGCTTATATAGGGTGGGGTGTCATCCAAATAGATGTAAGGGGGGCACACGATGACACAAACTGTTGGGTGCAACAAAGAGATGATGATAATCCGCTGGTACAACCACCAGATACCATTTACAGGCGCCTGCTGTAGACTCATGGCAAGCTGGTGTCTGGATGAGAATTTAAAGTCTGAACGAAATCATTGTATTTTCCTTGTATCCAAATCATTATTTGGGGAAAATAATTTTATGAAATTTTTGCTTGATAAAAATATAATTTTTT